GGCAGACACAGTCGCCAGCAGACATGTCTTCTGAAGCGGAAGTGCTGAAAGCACTTAAATCACTCTTTGAACATCATAAAGCTTTGGACGAAAAGGTGAACGGGGAGCGATAATCACAATGTTTGCTGTTCATTTCGAGTTGTATGGCAGCTACTTCAGGAGACCTTTCCAATAGTTCCGGTCCTTCGCCCAACGGACACTCTGGTACTGACCGTACCAGGTTTAGGTTCCGAGGCACGACCCTGTCAGGCTTTCTGTTTCAACAATTTTGTTCGCAGTCTGTCCCTCGGCCTCTTCTCCTGTGACTTTACCAAGAGGTGCACGATAAATCGATAGCTGCAGTAAGTAGTAAATTAATTGAATTAGAATAGCCTCCAGGTTTATCTTTTTCATAATTGTAGTTAATGCTTTGGATTGGTTTCTAGCTTTCTAAGGATATGAGGCACCGCGATATAATGTAGTTGATGTTATGATTAGGGTATAAAAAATTTGAATTAAATAATCCGAGATGAGCGAAAGTTATATACTTCACTGGTGCTAGTTGCTTGTAACACTGATAGTTTTTTAGGTGATTATTTCTTTGCATAATTGGTTATTTAAGGTTCGAGAAAGGTTACGAGTGGCCATGGAACGAGTGTCATCTTTGGAGGACGAGCTCGCGACCGCAACCCAGGAAGTACTGCATTGTCGTTTAAGTCGTTTGTGTTTAACCATGTCTGTTGAAATAGAACGCGTCATTGAAAGAACAGGTCGTCAAACTTTCATCAGATTATCAGAAGGAAAAACATAAACGAGGAAGTGAAGGCTTATCAGCAGACGCCGTCGGTGTCAAGTCAGGAAGCAGCGGCTCCAGGGCGCAGCTGCTCGAGATCCAAGAGGCGTACGAGAAGGCGAGCGGTGAGCTGGCTACTTCTCGGGATCGACTGGCCGAGATGGGCAACAGGTGAGTGACCTGTCAACTTGATTTGTCGTCTGTTCATTTGTTAGTATTTTCCCGGTTACAGTCCTAGCTACTCTGCCTGCTACAACCTGAAAATGATAATATTTCGGTAGAGACTACCATTCCTTCCATCAGAGTCAAAAGTCATATTTTTCCATTGGAGGCTGTTCGGTAAGGTTCTGATTAATGAGCTATGCCTCTTCATAGGTGCCATAGTAAGGTAGATTCGTTCGCTTTTCGAGAGTTCCTTAAAATTTGGCATTACTCTGCAATCTACATGGCTACATGTTTATTGAACTACTAAACACAAAGCGTTTTCCGTTTATAAATAACGACTAGTACATTGTTCGAACTTTGATTAGGATTTTTTGTGTGAGAACCGGGCTGATAAAACTTGACTGACTATATGTTATATAAGAGTTATCCACGCTGTCGACACTGTGAGGCGTAATGAAGCACTGCGAACCAAGACAGTCCAATAATCGATTAGACTGACGCTATTAGCACCTACTTTAGTCCTTTGCATTACATCATCACTGCAACAACTGTTAAAAAATGAAGTCGGTAATGTGTGGTTAAAAGTGGTGTACAGCGTTGCTAACTTTAGAGTGATATCAGAAATCATATTTGGACATAAGCTGCGTGAGATATCCACCTTCTCTTATTTTGGTTTCATTACAGATGAAAATCTTAGATGACTGCAAGACCGAAATGGTCAGAGATATGTAAATAGCAAGTCAGTTGGCTGGAATGTAGCGGAGGCCACTACGGTAAATTGCCAGTAGCTGCATATATTTTGTCGAAACCTCGTTTAGAATACTAAACAATACTGGTGGTAAGATATATACTGGGAACAAAAAATGATTTATTTGTGTCACTGATAGCGTTAGTTTCTTGTTTGTGAATGAGCTATGGCCTTCACTTTCAGGAAAAAAAGAAGTATATTCACTGCACGTTCGATGCATGCATGTTTTGTATCATCTGTATTGTTTAGTGCTCTGAACAGTGAATCATCAGAACAGCTCCAGTTCCTGTAACAGGCCCGGCATCGAAAACGTAGAATCATGTTTAATGAAATTTAATATTTTGAGTGGCAAGGAATGAATGTCTTTGGACCGTCAAACAATTGTTATACAAATTTGTTGATGCTGTAAAAATCTGAGATTCTTAATGGATGACGATGACCATTGTGGTAGTAGATGTCAAGGTAGTTTTGTTGTCCTTACGCGATAGATAAATGAGTGCCGGACTCTGCAAGAAAGCAGGAGACTGCACAACATAGTGACCATCTTGGCTAGAAGTTGTCTTCCAAGATAATAGTACGTTCTTAGTCACTGATATCGCAATGACAACTTGTATCGTTCCATAAGTTTCACGACTTAAGCGTATTATAAACAAATATCAGTAACAGTAGAAATCTAGGTAGAAGTAAAACGGTTCTCAGCGCCTCAGCAGTTACAAACTTTGGAGTCCCAGAATTCTCTTTTCTTAAAATGTGCAGCAAACCATGGAATGGGTCTTTATAATACCAGCAGGAAGTAGCGTTACAAAGCTGTGTACTCAAAGCTTGAAGCCTGTAAAGATACCCAGGATATGTTGATACAGAATCACACACAAAAACACCAGAAATTGCCTAAAACGCTACATCTGACAACCTTTTGTTGCTTTGTTAGGCTATAATAATTTTACTTGTTTCTGTCCTTCCATACGTTCGTATTGAAGGATCACCGAGTTGGAAGATGCACTGGCAAACACACAGAAGGAACTTTTGCTGTCACAGGAACTTAGCAAGAAGCTGCAGCACGACCTTCAGGAGGTAACGAAGGTTTTCTTTTGTATTTATTTGTGGTTGTTTATGTAAATGAGCAATTATTTGATTTATATTTTTGTTGTTTTTAAGGCAGTCATGATGAGACTTGATCAGGAGGAGCGAGGGAATACGATTGAGAAGCGGTGTCTCACTGCTCAACGAGAAGCGTCATGCATTCAAGACTTGAACGATAAGCTCGAGCAAGAGCTGGCGAACAAGGATGCGACCATTCGCTTGGTATAGAGTTTTTCTATAGTAAAATTGAAATTTGACTGTAACGTACCTGAATATCATAAATGCGGTAAGGATCGGTTTCCTGAATCGAAACGGCGGCAATGAGTAGGCTTCAAGTTTTCCAGTACATGGTTTGATTTTTACCCGCAATATGCTTGTATGCGATAGAGAGGTAAGAAATCTTGTCATTTGAGACAGTATCCTTAGAAAGTTTTTTTTATCAAGACACCTCTAAATCGTTTGAGACCGACATTAATCGATTGAGCTAATACTGTATTGTTAGAGTGTAAAAATGAAATTTTGCTCCAGTCAGGTTTTATCTAGCGTTTTGGCATACTGAGCTACGTAGTTTTGCTGGTTTTGTGCCTTAGAAAACTGCAGAGATATCAGCCTCTTTACATTGTTTAAATGGAGCCACCTTATAATATGTATTCTTTTACTATCGTCTGCTTTCTTGTAGCATAAGCATTTATTTTTGTTGGTTAACATGACTTTTGTTCTCTTAGTGAAACTTTTTCACGAACTTGTATTTTATTCTATAATCTTTTCTGTTATGATACTGATTTACAGCATGTTCCTTTAAGGACGAGGAAAAGCTTCGAAGTCTACAGGAGCGGTTGGAACTTGCCGAACAGCAGCTGGCACAATCACTGAAGAAGGCCAGTTCTCTGCCGTCGGTCGAGGCGGAACTGCAGCAGCGTATGGAGGCGCTGACTGCAGCAGAGCAGAAGCATATGTCGGCGGAGGAACGCATCAGCCGGTTAGAGCGTCAGCTGGAAGAAAAGAGCGCTGAATTGCAGCGCGCGCTTCAGCGCGAGAAAATGAATGAAGACCACAACCAACGATTGTCATCGACGGTCGACAAGCTACTATCCGAGTCGAATGACCGTCTGCAGCTGCACCTCAAGGAACGTATGCAGGCCCTTGAAGAGAAGAACCGCCTGACGCAGGACCTGGA